AATCGGACGACCGACGACAACGGCCTGCATCGCGCGCGTATACAGCGCGTCCCATTGTTTCCCCAAGGCATTATAATTTATTTCCCGAAAAACGGAGCCGGATAAAAGTAACTGCCTTGCACGTATACGTGGATAGATCGGGTACGTATACGCGCGTAGCGAAACGGTGGATGGGGGGAGGGGTTGGAGGTGGTGGTGGTTTTTCGACGTCGTAATTCTTTATCAGCAGACGGTATACGCGTCCCATCCGTACGTACGCGCGCTCGCCGTACTATCACGGGTTGTATAGGTGTGCCGTTTGCCGTCCGGTGGAGGGGGGGGAAGGGGGCTCGCGTTCGCCGGCCGGGCGCTACGGCGGCGGCGGGGTGAGACGGGTGCGCCGCGTCCGTATAGATAAGATAGGTGGGAAGAAAAAAAAAAAAAAAAAAATTACCGTTAAAGGTCCGCGGTGTCGCGGCGTACCGTGCGGCCGCGGTGCGGTGTGCGCGCAGTGAACGGAGTGGCGCGAAAAGGCACCGGGCGGCGGCAGCGGCAGACGGCGCACAGCCGTCCCGGGCCCGCGCGCGCGGGATTTCGGCGGCGAAGAAGAGCAGAAAAATTTAACGAATAGGTCCTGTGGGGTCGGCGCAGAGGCGGCGGCGGTGACGGCGGCGGCTTCTGTAATGGCGCACGGAGAGTTCATTAGTGTCTACGGCCTCCTACTCCGTCGACCGACCCTCCGCACCGCCGCATCGTTTTTCTCCACCTCGTCGCGCCGTCGTCCTTTACACAAACATTAATACTGCGAAAACTTCATCTCTCTCACTCACTCGCTCTCTCTCTCTCTCTCTCTCACTCTCTCTCACTCTCTCTCTCTCTCTCTGCAGTACGTACACTATACGTGTATATACGTATATGTATACGTATATATTTATCGTGCACGCGACGGGGATAGCGAAATATAGGGACAGCCGCCGCGAAATGGAAAATTCTCTTTTACGTGCCCCGCGCGTATGTTTGTATTATATTATTATTATTATTATTATATAGGTAGAGGTACCCATATTATGTACGTATCATCATGTTTGTGTGTGTGTGTCTGCGAGTGTGTGCGAGCGCGGACGAATGCGGACGAGCGTGTATATAATCTCTGAGAGAGAGAGAGAGAGAGAGAGAGTGAGGGCGAGAGAGTGAGGAGTCGTCGGACTCGGATGATGTATGAAGGCTAATGTGCTTTTGGCGGACGGCTCCCGGAGAAGAAATAAGCTTTGCAAAAAAAAAAAAAAATACACACATATTTTTATATTATATACTTAGTCATAAAAACGCCGCCGCCGCCGGTATTATCGTTATACGTGCCTAAATACCGTAACCCGTTGCGCGTTATCGGTGCCCGCGGCGGCGACGCGACAGTTACGCGCGCAAATAATCACGCTCGCGGCGCGCCGATCGGGGAATTCCCGGTCAAAAAGGAGCCGTTTTCGCGAACGCCGCCGCGGCGGCACAACACGGGCCGCGCTCGCCGCGGACCGTCGGGCGGTCGAGAATCGGGCCGCCGCGTTTCGCCCCTGCGTCCGCTTCCGCGAAACGATTTACGTGTACGTTTGTATCGCTCCGAGTATCGGGCCGCCGAATAAAACGGCACGGCCGGTATCCGCCGACAACGCGCCTTTCCATTTTCCGCCGATTCTCGTTTCCGCCAAAACGCAAAATCGGTCCACTCCCCTTTCCCGCCAGATGATCGACTCGATTTTTTTTTCATTTGGCGCGGTGGTGAATTGACGGAAAAGCAATCGACCAATCGTATGATATGACGGAAACGAGAATCGGCGGAAAAGGGAAAGGCGCGTTTTCGGCGGGAACGGGTAGTTCCCAAATAAAAGATCTATTTTTAAAGGATACCCGGAGTTTGGACGACAGATGTGCAACGCACACATTAATAATTTTAAACATATTTAAATAGATAATATAAAACTAGTCAAATAGTTATTAAATTTTTTTTAAAATAATGCGATACAGATCGCTCTGTACAGTACTCAAAAGTACTGTCAACGTAAATCGATCGTAACGAAACACGAGAAATTTAAATTCGTAATCGTGGAAAAAATAATAATACGGTTTAAAATAGTGGCTTGCCTTTTGTCAAATCTAAAATGTATTAACATATAGTAGTCCGATTACCGGATTTTATAGTAAAAAATCGTTTAAAATAGTGGTCCCGTTTGGCGGGTCTGCCAGCTATAAATGTAAAATTTTAGTGGCCCAATTACCCTATACCTTTTTGAGAAAAAGGTTCACTGCGGCCCCGATTCCCGGACGTCCGGATCATCGTCATGCCGAAACCGTAACAATATCGTTTTTATTATTTTCGGGGCAGGGTTGAGTACGCACTAATGGCCAATAGGTAACCCCGCTACGGCCACCCGTTTGCGTTTCATTCGTTAATTGTGTATTTTTGTAATTGTGTATCCAATACGATTATTGTCGTATTCATTTACCGGGTGGTATCAATAATCACGGACAAAATAACAGAGATATGCGTGTGAACAAATTCTTAAGGTGACCACAGATGGTGACTCCGCCATAATGTCCTTCTATCCTGCCCGCCTTTTTCTGTGTACTTCGTGCCGCTATCCACCATAAGTATACTCCGTGTCATACCATTGCTATACGTTCCCCACAAATAACGCACTCCTGTCTTCCCGAGCAAGTTCTGTCTAGCGGTCGTATTAGCTTATTAAATCAATGTTTTTTTTTTTTAATTTTTAACGATGCACATAATAATTTAAACATGCCCATTGTGTTTTACTATGGTGATTTTTCAAATCTGTGAACGACTATTCCGTAATCAGAAATCTTACTCTGTTTCAGTGGTTCTCAACCGGTGTGTCGCGTATTACTGTGACGTGTGTCTTCAAAAATGTTGTTTATTTGCACGTAAATAATCGTGTCCTCAGTCGTAATTACCGTGGGTATTGTGTGTGTAATTTTAGTTTCATTCATTTTTTTAAATGCGTCGTAATTTGTATGGATCTAAATTAGGGTGTCGTCATACGAAACAGGTTAAGAACCCCTCTTCTAATCAACGATTCCAGGTGTGATTTCCAGCAAATGATGTTGTGTTTAAACGGTACACCAAGAGGTTCGTTTTTTTTTTTTTTTTTTTTTATACTTTACTCGATAACGAGGAAAATTCGAAAAAACCGGGAATGTTCATGCTATATCAGTGTCTGTACATTTCGATGTTGTATTTATTGTTGTTATTCTGCGAAAGACAATCGTAGAGACTTGAGGTTCTCACTGAATTTTATATTGTTTGTGATGTCTAGACGGAAATAATTTGTTTTTAAATATTCTCTCTATTTTTCATGTTTACCTGAATTTCATTTAGAATCGTTTTTCGTTAGCAATGATTTATTAATGCGTTCAGATATAAATTAAATTACTATTAAGTTATAACTTTCACAAACTTTGACTTTTTTTTTTTGAATTTCTAATATCCATAACATATTATGAAGAACCGATCGTGATAAGTAACGATTACGTATGGTAATAACCAGCGTTGTTAAGGAACGCGTTTCTAAATGGGCGATTCCTGGAAATGAATCATTTTTAGAGAAAAGCACGAAGGAATTGATTCCAAGGAATAGGAACGTAACTACTATAATCGTTTTGTTCTTTTCTGAAATATCTATTCTAAAAGACATTTGCAGTGAAACCAATGTTCGCTTATCAAGTTTCGAGTCGGGTGGACGAGACTTTAATTACGACATTTGTCTTAGCGACCTGAAGCGAAACGTGAATTAGTGATATTTACCGATTATAAAAAAAAAAATAATTTCGGATTGCGTCGGGCATTCGTGAAGGAACGGCCCGGCGAACAACGGGGAACGGGAACGAATTCGCCTTTTCAAAAGGATCGACGCTAACAACCCCGTTAAGGAACAACGTGGCCGCGATCGCGGGCACTTCGAGTCCAGAAGTATAATAATAACCGTACTGTGCTAATAACCGTATAACGGTACTGCGATACGAATTAGCGCGATAATAATAATATGCAACGATACGAAAACCCCGTAATAATATTGTTTGGACGGGAAAGTTACGCGCCGGTTCCGTATTACACGCGCGCCACGATTGCCGGGGACCGCGGTCCTCGCGAAAAGCCGTTAAAACATCCGTGTCGCTGTATCGCTCCGCAAATGTACGTATTATAAATAATATTATACCGGAGCACTCCGACTCGGAGACCTCGTGGACTATGAAATTAGTTTTACGGCATCGACGCCGGCGGCACCGGGGCTATAAAAAAAAAAAAAAAAAAGGGAAAAAAAAAAGAGGGGCCCCTTCGGAAATAATATTATTATTATAATATCGTTACAAACCGAAAACCGTAAATTTTGTATACATTTTTTTTTTTTTTTTCTCAACCGCGTCCCTCGTAATAACAATAATTATTGTAATAACAATAATTATTGTAATAACAATATTCTTATCGTGATATATTGTTGAATATTTTAATATCATTATTATATCGGCTTAATTTTTAAAGATGGAAATAACATCGTTATCTTCTATAATATTCATTGTGGTTTATTAGCGAATTTTAAAAGAAGCAAAACAAAAAAAAAAATAATAATAAATAAAAGAAAAAAATTATTTTATTCGGTAAAAAATGTTTTTAGTGTTTGTTTATTACAATAATGAAAATAAACAATAAAAAAAAAACATACAAATTTGTTTATCTAGAGATATTTATAGTATTATGCACCTAGAAATGTTTATTATAGTAAACAAAAAAACAAATAATAAAAATTAATACGAAGTTGTTTTCTGAATATTACTGACTATAATATAACTGGCTTAATTCGTCGTTTTTCAACTTTTTACGTATAATTATAATGTTACGATAACATACGAGGGATGGCTATTAAAGAACGATACTGATTACAAAAAAGTGTTTTATTATAAAAATTATTCTACATTCAAATGCTTCCCTTCAATATACTCCCCTCCCCTCGCCACACAACGTTTCATTCGTTTCTTCCATTGCTCGAGGCAGTGCTGGAAGTCTATTTTCGTAAGACCATTCAGGAGTTCCGCCGACTTTTGTTTCACCTCTTCCATCGACTCAAACCGGATTCCTTTTAAGGCAGACTTTATCTTCGGAAACAAGTAAAAGTCGCAGGGTGCCAAGTCGGGTAAGACGCGTGTTCGAGTACTGGAGTGCCTTAAGCGGCCAAATAACGCTTCACGCTTTATCCTGGTGCAAGATCCACGACTTGTTTTTCCACAATATCGNATTCAGTCATCACGATGCCGTTGATATCGAAGAAAACGGTTTTGAATTTGGATTACGACTGAATTGGATTCCGGTGCACTCTCGACCTTCAGAAAATAATTTATGCCACTCAAAAACACGCGTCAGAGATAGGAAATCCTCACTATAGGCCTCTTTTATCAACTTATAGCACTCAGTTGGAGTTTTTTTTAGTTTAACGAGAAAATTTTGCGTTTATCCGTTGCTCATGTTTTTCGTCACACATGGTTTCGGCACGAGAAAAAAACACGTTCGTTTCAAACCACTGCTGCACAAATACTATAATAGTGACGAAAACGTGTTTTAGTACGTGCATAGATAAGATATTTAGATACCCAACGCATTACTCGTTTTTTTTCACTACCCATCTAGGACGCCCTCTAGGCGAGCAGTCTCGTTATTTAATAGCCACCCATCGTATATTTTTAGATATCGGTATTTAGAAGTTATATAAAAAAAAAAACAAAATTATAAAGAACAAATGTTTTCAAATCGATTTCAAAATAATTATCACAGAATTTAACTTGTTTTAATCTGTTTGGTGATTAAGGTAAGAAATACTGTTTGCTGTCGGTTCATCAGTTGTGTAAAATACTGCGAGAAATTCAAAGAAGTATTAATTTATCATTGTTCGTCCATATATAAATAAAATGTTATTATTAATCATACACTATACAGTGGTCACTTGATTTCAATAATAGATTATCGTCTCATCCTGATCCGATACTAAATTATCAATGCCTTTCCATTATCACAAAAAGTACTACTTGTGTACTAACCTATTAAAAAAAATGACAAATACATAGGTTATCGACTTAAAAATGGCACAAAAAAGCCCAAATTTAGTTTTTAACTGTAGCAAGTATTCAAATGAATAAACCCTGAGTGTAAATCAAAAAAAAGGAAAAATAGTTTTAAATAGATTCAGAAGATTTCTGTTCCTTCTAGTTTTACCTAGATGTAAAAGTGTTTTATGGAATCAATAATGTGTGTACTAAAATAATTCAACAAACGTTTTTATTGTATTTAGTAATTATGACGACACCACAGTAACTAATTGATGTTTTTGAAAAGCATTAGAACAGAGTTCTACCTGTCCACGGGTCAATAAAATAATTTTTGTTAGGGACTAGGTACTACAGATACGATCGATTTGGTCGCAATTCAAATATCACTCGCTAATCGATTGGATTTTGATAGTAATACACACGCATTGATATCGTTTTTTCCGTGCAATTTTTACATTTTTCCTAGAATTTCACGAGTACATTTTTGACTGAACAAAAAGTTTCCGTTCATAAAAAATGTTTTACATGTATTTATGCTCATAATTTCATTTTTTTCGCTATCTTTTATTTTTTATTCCATAATTGATTATATTTAGGTACTCTCCGTTATATTATAATTAATTTTCTTTTGCATAAATAATTACACCTATTAAAATAAAAAGCGTTATTATATTTACCTTAAAAAAAAAAAAATGATTTTTGATCAATTATTATGGCTTTATTCCAGCTATCGAATTAATAAGGAATATTGTTGCTATATTATTAACTTTTTAATAAAAGGATGCCCCGCACGTTAATTTGGTGTATCCGTCTTACAAACGCACAACATAGCAAACTTATTATATTCAGCAGGAATGACATTGTGTCGATAGTTTCAATATTATAACAGTACATTGATCCATTATCAAACAAAATAACATCATGGTATTATCTGTGTTTTCAAGCGAGATAATAGCGTGAGCGGGTATGTGAAACATCATAATTAAAAAAATTCTCGTGTATATCTCGCTTGAAAATTAGAATATCGTTAAAAACCCAACAAACAAAAATTGTCTTACTTTCAAGTTTTATGGGTCGATATTATTCACTATAATGTTAATACTATAACAAAACAAAATTGGTTCCGGTAAATGTCTCAGTTGTTTATTATTACTACGTACTATAATAATTTATAACAGACGTGTTGTACGTACATATACGAAACCTGATAATGTTATGCTATTGTTTATGGTTATTTTATACGGGTACACTATTTCTAATAGGCGTTAAAATATTGAAAATTACCCATATCAATTTCATGTTCCCGCGATTTCAATAAAAATAAATGTACACGTTTTATGCAATAATTATTATTATAGTTTTCAACGATTATAACTGGTACACATGTTATTTGGACATAACGCACATACAATAGGTAATAATAAAATATCAGGCGTACAATAATGAGGTTCAGCTAATCAACCTGTTCATGGCTGTGAGTTTCCGCACAAAAACAAAATATCGTATCTTTTAATATTACGGAAATTCGTACCATGAGTTGGTAAAAAAGAAAAATCAACAAAATTAATATATGATTTGTCAATCTAGTTTTGAGTTCTGGTCTGATTTTATTCTGTCTACCAACATTAACAATTATTAACTAAAACTGGTGAATTATCATAAATCGTTTTAATGTATTTTACGTGAAATTTATTTTCACCAATAGAATACGCGGTAACAACGGTGTTAACAGAAATGAAAACTTTTTATTTGTAAAGTCAATAAATTCTTCATTCCATTGAGAACCTGAAACACTTCCTTAAAACGTAATGTTGAGATTTTATTTTGTTTGGGAAACTATACTACTACTAACTAAAGCTGAAAAGTGATTCTTTAACAGTTTATTGTAAAGATAGAAGTTACTTTTTTGATTATTGTGACTAAACAAGTTTATATCAAAAAATAACAATAATATATATGTTAATAAATTACTTATTATTACATACCCAGTTATTCATTTTATTAAATATTTTTTTAGGATAATAACTCATAAACCCGCACGGCTATATATAACTATAACTATAACTAAGTTGGCCGTGATGACCAAATTGAAATAAACACAATGGGTTTCTTGTTATTATACCAAAGGGAAATGAAAAATAATCAAATTATAAAAAAAATCTCGACAATTTTCATATTCATAGTTAAAAATTCGTACACGAAAAACTTAAATAAATAGTGTCCGTTATTAAGCAGTCTTGGCGGTTCTTTTAGTGGTATATATCGGTGGGGGGGGCGATGAGTGGACCGCCTCCTGTTGGGCTCATTGTAACCACTATATATTATTATCTACAACTTAATACTTAAGAGTTTATATAAGTATATAGTTAGGAAATTTTGGAATTTTACGACCCCCCCGGGGATGAAGGTTTGAAACAATCACTGAAGGCAATAAAAAACCCTACAATCTCTGTGGATTTGAAATCATCCACCCCCTCCATTAGAACTAAGATATATCTACCACTGGGTTCTGTTCAGAAAATGTTAAATATTTCGTTCATTATGTATACGGCTCGGAAGTTATAGTGGCTAAAAAAGGCAAAATATACATGCAAATATGTGCGGACAAATTGTAAAATATGCAAAAAATTATTGAAAGTTTATTATTTAAAAACATATAATGTCAGTATAATATGCACAAAAAAAAAAAAAAAATATATATAAAATGCGAATCGCACCGTTTTTGTTAAATTAATAATAGATTGAGACCATAAGAAATAACAAAAAACAACTACGTTGCATAATATTGAGTTTTATATTCAAAAGTATTTAAAATACGAAAAAAAAAAAATATTTGTTTAGCCAATAATATATATAAATATAATTCGTAAAATTATGCGAAAATCTATTAAATATGCAGTTTTCCCTAAAGTATACAAAATATGCACTTTAAATGTTTCATTTCCGTCGCATAGAAATAATGTGTAGCTTAGTCTGCTATGAATCCACCGCATATAGCAAAATATGCAACTCCGATAACTTCTGACCCCTACTTATATATATTTGTCAAGGTATACGAAACAAATATGCCAATACTTTATCTTGTTTTAAACATTCGTAATATTTTTCATTAAATAAAAAGCAATTTTACAAATTTCAATGACGGTTTTAATGACTTCTTCGTCTTGGGTAATATTTGATAAAAATTTTCCAGAATTTCTGCTTTTCTCGAATAAACCATGTTCGTTAAAGATAGATGAGTATTATTTATTTTGATCACATACTAATTTTTGTATTACACAGTTTGATAATATTTTACTAGATGTCTGATCATAAACATCCGTTACCAACTATACCCCCCTAACATATTATTATTATAATGATACTTTAATAATATTGTGTACTATGTAACAGAAAACACATAACATAGTATAATTATATATTACAAGTCTTGTCTCTGACGAACATGGCATACCAATAATATTGGACGCAGAATGTTCGTGATTCGAAAATAATATCAAATAATAGTATTATGTTTTGTGTAGTTTCATGTTTGTTGTACCTAAAAAATTATACTTTCATGTCTAAAAATGGGGGAAAATCGTAAAAACGCAGTATGAAAATTGATTTGTAAATGTGTACACTACGATTCCATTGCCAATATTATAATCAATTATAATGTCGGTGTTTATCTGTACAGTTTTCACGACTCTAGATAAGTATAGAGACAAAAATAATATTGTGTACAATATCTGCAAAACAATCACAAAATTAAATAAGTGCTGTTACTGCTAATGTGTCTCTGTTATATATAGGAAGATACATAAAGTTTAGATTCCGAGCGCAGTGAGGGAGCTATTGGTTTTACTAAGATGTTTATTTTTTTTTCTAGTCTGTGGACACGTTTTTTCTAGTAAAATTGTTCGAATTTTTACGTGTAGCACCTTTTCTGAAAGCTCAAGTCGTCTAAATTGTACTTTAAAAATGTAATTTTTTTAAATTTTCGACGGTATTTTGCAAATAAAAGCACTTGAGTGGGAAAAAATTTTGGTAAACGTATATCATTATTTTTTAAAAACACGGATGACATTTTCTACCAGGAATTAAATCGAAAAATCACAAGATACCTTTGTTGTTGCCTTTTTGATTTACTT